TGGTAAGTCATCAGCATTTGTGATTATCATTGTTAATTTTTCTTCAAAGCTGCATTTTTTAAAAATTTTATTTAATCACTTTTACAATCCAGATTTTATCCCCTTCCTGGTCCACCCTCTGTCTGTTCTACATCTCATACCTCCTTCCCCCACCCTGTCTCCATGAGGAGGTCCTCACCACTTACCGCCCACCCCCCCACCTCACCAGACCTCCTCACTCCCTGGGGCCTCCAGTCTCTTCAGGGTTAGATGCATCTTCTCTGACTGAGTCCAGACCTGGCAGTCCTCTGCTGTGTATGTGTTGGGGACCTCATATCAGCTAGTGTATGCTGACTGGTTGGTGGTCCAGTGTCTGAGTGACTTCGGGGGTCCAGGTTAATTGAGACTGCTGGTCCTCCTACAAGGTCACCCTCCTCCTCAGCTTCTTCCAGCCTTTCCCTAATTCGACCACAGGGGTTAGTAGCTTCTGTCTATTGGTTGGGTGCAAATATCTGCAGCTGATTCTTTCAGCTGCTTGTTGGGTCTTCTGAAGTGCAGTCATGATGAGTCCCTTTTTGTGAGCACTCCATAGCCTTAGTAATAGTGTCAGACGCCTTTGGGGCCTCCCATTGAGCTGGATCCCACTTTGGGCCTGTTGCTGGACCTTCTTTTCCTCAGGCTCCTCTCCATTTCCATCCCTGGAATTCTTTCAGACAGAAACAAATATAGGTCAGAGTTTTGACTGTGGGATGGCAACCTCATTTGATGCCTTGTATTTTAAAAAAGACAGTGCTTATATAATGGTAAACTAGGATCAAAGTTTTGCATGAAGAACCATAAATATAATTCATGTAATAAATTATATAGAATACAACATTAAAAAATTCCTATCCCCAAAGATTTCCTGGTTGTATAACCTGTTAAATCAGGCTGAACAGAAGAAGTTGTCTTTATGTCTTGAGATAGCATCAGTGTTGTAGAACATGTCTGTCAAGAAGGCTCGCTGGCAGGCATGTACCCTGTTCTTAATCTGCTTGTGTCAATCCAAATTAGTTATTTATTTTTTTTTGTAAATGATAAAATTTTTGAAAAGGAAAGCATGTTGGAGGAAATGTCACTTTGAATGTTCTTTAGTCCCTGACAAGAATAGAGAAAGCAAGGTAGAAGAAGTGGGGAAAACCTCACACAGTAAATAATAATATTCCAGCAGGAACAGTGAGGCTTGGATACAAGAACAGCACCTCTGCAGAGGTGACTGCTATGAAACGCAGAAATTTCCCACCAGTATTTACACACTCAAGTAAGGGTCCCCACTGGGAACAAATGTTGTTAGACTATATGACAACGTGCAGCTGAACTTTGCTGCTTTGTGGATTCTTCTGTTTCCCACCCTTTATCCCTCCCTCCCCCAGTTTCACCCCCTATCTCTAATTAGGAAGGAAAGAAGGAGAGAGAGGAGAGAGAAATATCTCTGAATCTAATTCTTCTTGTTTATTCTTTGCTTTTAGCTGGTCTTTGCTACTTTGAGGGTTCTTTTATCCCACCCTTTATCCCCTCCCCCAGTTTCACCCCTATCACTAGATAGAGAAAGAAGGATAGAGGGGAGAGAAAGATAGAGATTGATCCCACAATCAAATTTCTTTCTTCTTGTTTCTTCTCTGAGCACAACTAACAAACTGCAATCATTCCCCCCACCCAATGACCACTAACTACTAACCCTGCCTACTGGGGGTCTAGCATTTATATACCCTCTAAAACGTTTCCAGAGTTCCAAATGCCACACAATCGCAGAAACTACCTGCAGTTGGCAAAACCATGCATGTCTCTGCTAGGGCACAAGGCCTAGCACATAGTCTGCTGCTGTGGTCAGTCTGAAGCAGCCTCATATTCCTATTCCTGGGATTAAAATGAAGACATGTATTTCTACATTTTTCAAAGAAACTTATATTCCAGAATTGTATCTACAGTGACATTTAAAACTGAGAGGGACTTTCAATGTTCAAATGTTATGCAGACCGGATTGATGTCTAACCCACAGAGGTCCACCCTACTCTGCCTCTCAAGTGCAGGGATTAAAGGCATGCAATACTACACCCAACTAATAATACTTAAAAAAAAAGAAATGCCCAGAAAATATCAACGGAAGGATTGACTCATATCCCAAAGAGGAACTGCTAAGACTATTGACTTTGGTTGTCAGGGCATTAAAAGAAGAGGACAGATTAAATTCTATTTGGGATGGGATAGACAATGCTAGAGTCAGTGGATCTCAGAAAGTATTGGGGAAGTTGTTATATTTAACAGTTCCAGATACAAGCAGATTTATTAGTTTTTTTTTATAGTTGCTGTGATAAAATTCCATGGCCAAAGGTAATATAAAGAAGACAGAGTTTATTTTAGTGTACGATTATAGACTGATCGTGTCCATTGAGAGTGGGGGATGTATAGCATAGTAGCAGGAGCAGGAAACTGGATAATCACATTTTCTTTCACATTTTTTATTTATACACAGGAAATAGACAGATGGGGAAGAGGGAGAGGTAGACAATGGAAGTGAGACAAGCCTGCACACACTCAAAGCTTGCAGCCCTCAGTTACATACTTCCTTCAGCAAGGTTGCACCTCCTAAGGGTACCAATAACCTCCCCCAAACAGCACCACCAGCTTTCTAAGAAGTATTTAAATACATGATCCTGTGGAGGACACTCTCATTTAACGTTGTGCCCAGAAAAAGGAACCTACACACTACCCATGACACACCTTAATTAAGTATAAGCAACACAAGATGAAGTTCATGTAAACATAAGGAAAATGAAATTAACTCTTTGGACATGAAAGCTACGATGGAGAGGTCAGACTAGGAAAATGGGTCCCTCCCAAGGGATCAGATTCCAAAAGATGCTAAGGGAAATTAAGAAAGTGATAGGCAGCCTGCTGTGGGAGACAGGGGCAGGTGGCTTTCTGTGAGTTCAAGGTTAGCCAGGTCTACACAGGCCATGTAGTGGTGGCATACACCTTGAATCCCAGGACTCAGGAGGCAGAGGCAGGCAGATCTCTGTGAGTTTGAGACCATCCTGGTCTACAGAGTGAGTTCCAGGATAGCCATTGCTGTTATACAAACAAATAAAAACAAAACAAACAAAACAAAACCCCCAAAACAACCAAAAACAATAATAAAAAACAAAACACTATCTCAAAAAACAAAAGCAAACAAATAAGAAAATAAAAAATGATTGATAGGCATTACAAAAGAACTGTATGTTCCAGGCCTGGAATGTTGTTAAATCAAGAACTAAATCCTGAGGTTCCTTAGAAAAGAGCTCACAGAAGGGGATGGAGGGGAAGCCTGGCAGGGTGAAGGTTTTTTTTTTTTAAGTTTTATTTCCTTTAAAATGTGTAGAATAAAATGATAGTGCCAGAGGATGCGTGACTAAACTGTAAAGAAAGGGGGAAAAGGTCACTATAAAATTCACACAGTGGTTATTTTGAATGAAGGGGACTGGCAAATTCTTGAATTGGTTGCTGGTAAGAAAATTGACTTGCTTATACTTAATACACTAAACATTTGATTTGGTGTTCTAATTCCATAAATAGTGGTGCTTTTGGCTACATATACCAACCAGAAAAACCTGGCTGATAGTGGCTTAAACAAAAATAGGTATTTATCTTGAATCTTACCAGTGGCCTGGTACCATGACTTCTGTCCCAGCTGGGCATCTAGGACCTTCATGTTTCTATCGTACTCCTTTGAGTTTCAGTGGTATCTTCATTGCCTTATGGAGGTAAGCTGGATGGTTGTGTCTGGCCTTCTTCTCTATCCTCTCCTGGTGATGGAGGCCAGGAATATGGGTAACCATCTTGAGGTACACAGGTCAGCTCCCACAGGAAAGCCATTATCCGGTTTCAAACACCAGTAAAACTAAAGTTGAGAAACCATGCTCTAGCAGTAAATCACGGTGTGCGTGCTCTGGAAGTACTTGGGGGTGCCAAGAACCCTTTCACGGGCATCAGGTCAAAAAGTGATGTTCATAATAACATCAATACATTATTTGTCCTTTTTCCTCTCTTCTTTCTCTCGTGTACAGTGGGGTTTTCTAGAGGTTGCACAAGAATATGATATTATCTATCCCTTAGATATAGAGACAACTGGACAACTGTGAGAAGTATCTGCCTTCTGTTAATCTAAGAGTTTGAAGAGATTTATAAAAATGTACAACAATGTCTTCTTTTCAGGTTTTTATTTTATAAAGTGTAGTTTTTATTAAAATATTTCATGTTAGTGAGTAAAAGGTCATTGTTACTTTAAATGTACATATACTGATCTATCTGCTTTAGTGAATAAAATAAATATCAGCATTGGATGCATAGGTTTTAGAATATAAAGGAGTTTAGAGGTTAAAAGTTGGAGAACTACTGATCCAGAGAATCGTCTTAAAAACTTCAGAAATATAAATACTAAGAGAAGTGTAATTATGGACTGAGCATGGTGATGCTTGTCTGTAATCCCAACAAAGGAGTAAGGCAGGAGGATTGTGAGTCCCAGGCCAGTCTATAAAGGGATATAAGAGACCTTTTCTTAGTTCTGTATCTGCTAACAAGTATAATTACAGCTAATTTGCATGGACAAAGCCTTGATCACACTCTTCTGTTTCCTGACTTGGTGCTCGGTTTTGGGAACATAGGGGTCTGTCTTTTAACATTTGTTAACTCACAAAAAGAGACAAATCATATAAGTGCCCCCAACCCCCGACTCTATATAAGGTATTTTTGGTGTATGGAGGGCATAGGGGAGGCTGCAGTATACTCAGGTGCAGGGATCATCAGACTCAGTGACTACATCAAACTTCATCTAGGTTTACCATTTTCCCTCCCAGCAGGCAAATCATTTGTCTTTGACTCATTTGCTGGCTACCAGGTCACCTTGTCCCACTTAATATATAAAATAGCTGGTATAAATCTGGAACCAGTGGTTTAAGAGCAGAAACCAAAACTAATTTCTGTGCTTTGGGTGTACATTTCAGTGACTGTGCTGGCAATATTTAATGAGCTGCATGCAGATGTGGATCTTTATGCTCTTCTGTTTGGAGAGAGTGTCCTGAATGATGCGGTTGCCATTGTACTATCCTCGTAAGTAATTATTTCTACGGAGGGAGGGGGGCTGACTAATGGTTCTGGCTCTGTCCCTCAGCAGCATTCAGGATGCTGACACCAGCATAGCATGGTGGCTGTAGCTTAAATTAAATGTATTTTCTCTGGGCAGTGCATGGGAAACTATATGTTTATTGATATTTTCCATTACAGTGAGCCTCTTTATCCTCTAGGGATACAGTTTAAGAGTGCTGCTGAATGTCTGAAGTCATAGATGATACTGAACCCTGTTTACGATATTCCCATATATACATGCATCCATCGATACATATATACAAGTAAATACATACCTATGATAAACTTCAGCGCATATATTAGACAAGTAGCAATAACTAATAATAAAGTAGAACAATTATAATAATGTGTTTTAATTGTTAAAAGTTACGCTTAATTGTATTTTCATCTTTTCACTCATATGTAACACTTTATGGCTTCTCTTTGGCAGATCCAAAATTTCAGCAACATTACTCTTTGTCCATGGAAACATTCTCAAGCAAAATAAAGGTTGTTTGAACATAAGTGCTGCAGTTTGATAACTCAATGCATTGTTTCTAAGGGACTAGTAGTAAAGTAGCATATACTGTATGGCTATATTAGACAATGCAACGATTCATGTCATCAGCAGATTCAGCCAGATAATGTGAAGCTTCATTATGCTATTTAGAAGAGTATACAATTTAGAACTTATACATTGTTGATTTCTGGAATTTCCTACTTGATATTCTTAGACTGAGGTGAACTTGTGTAACTAGAACCGTGGAAACTAAAATAGCGAAGAAGGGTGGGGCCTGCTCAGTGTGCCATGGTGTAAAACCAGTGTGGTCTTAAACACCCCCCCCTCTCTCCTACAGGTCTATTGTTGCCTATCAACCAGCAGGACTAAATACTCACGCGTTTGATGCTGCTGCCTTTTTTAAGTCAGTTGGCATTTTCCTAGGTATATTTAGTGGCTCTTTTACCATGGGAGCTGTAACTGGTGTTGTTACTGCTCTAATATCCTTTTAAAAAATGTTTTGGCCCCTGCCTTGCTACACACACTATTACGTTTTCAAAGAGAAAGTTTTCAGTTCCTGCTTTCAAATCAGAATCTTAGATTGATTGTTCTTTTGAGATGAGGTACTACCTCAGATGGGTCATGCCCAGTGATTGGGCCCCTAAGTAAGAATCTGGGAAAAACCTCTGGGATATTGAACTCTATGAGGTTCAAAAAAGAGGTAGTGAAATGGGGGAGAGGATTGGGGTGCATATGATCAAAGTACATTGCTAGTATGTATGAAATTGTTAAAGAATAAGTAAAATAAATTCTGTCGAAAGAGAATGTGAGGAAAGAAGGAAAATACAATCAATGAAACATATAATATACCAAATAAAAATTTTAAAATGGGGGAATTTAACTCTCTACTTTATCCTTACCTCTGCTGCTTCTCCCCCTGTCTTATAACACAGTTGGGACATCAGTCATAGGGGATGAAGAGACTGCGGAACCCAGAGGAGGCTTGTAATCAGTGGCCACTGGTTGTACAGCACTTTAGCTTTGGGATCCTGGTGCTGTCTGCTGTTCAGGTAGCCATAACTAGCCTGGAGCCACTGGTGGGAATTACTAAACTTCCTACTGTGTGGTCCATTGGGAAAGAATGGTGTAATATTTAGTTTCAAATAAGCAAACAAAAAGAGAAAAACATGGAAAGAGCTGACAGTCCCTTTACATATTTGCTGAATCCTCCATCACAATACCCTCTTTGATTGGCAGTGCTAATGAGTGTAATACACACTGCATCCATTTTACATGCAGCCAGTATAGATAATGTGGAAAAATAATTAGTGAGATTTTAGTTATTTGGTTTTTGTTCTAGTCTTTGAGATATGTGTCTTTTGCTCTTTGTAAAATCTCAGCTATGCCTAACTAACTACATTTTAAGTGTTGAGAAACCACATATAGCCAGTAGTTACTGTGTCAGCTAGCACAAATTAAGATAGGTTTGTTTAAACACCTTGGTACTGAGGATTTAATTGCGCAGTGAACTTATTTGTGGCTTGTTTTTATGTTGATGGTGTACTGAATGGCAGTAGTGGGAGGAAGATCCTGGTTGTTCTTAAAAGTAGATCCTAGCACTTCATTGTTGTCTCAGAAATTACAGATTTCTTCTCTTTTGTCCCATACATGGATCAGGCCTTAATGATCCATGGGGATCAGAGCCTGAAGAGCCTGTCTTCCCAGGCCTGCCTAAGACCTTCCCAGCTCTATGAGAACTAACCTATCAAGTCAAACCTGTAGCAAGAAATTTATTCATAGCATCATAATAATTCATATACTATAAAACTGATCCATTTTGAGTACACAATTCTGTTTCTTTTAATTCCTTATGTTATTATGTTTAAAAACATAAATATATAATAAAAATTGCCTCAGTACACAATTTAAAATCATTAAGTACAGGAGCCAGCAAGATGGCGCAATAAGTATGGCCTTTTGCCACCAAGCCTAATGACTTGAGCTTGATCCCTGGAGCCCATGTGGTAAAAGAAAACCACCTCATACAAGATATCCTCTTACCTGGAAAGCTTAATTTTTAATTTATGTTACATGAAAATTGAGCTGGGTGTGGCTGTGTCACCTTTAATTCCAGCACTTGGGAGGTAGAGGCCAGTGGATCTCTGTGAGTTTAGGACTTATCTGATATGCACACTGAGTTCCAGGCCAGCCAAGGCTACACAGAGAAACCCTGTCTCAAAATGAAAGGTAGGAAATAAATAAATAAATAAATAAGCAAACAAACAAATACATACCTGATCAGGGATATGTGGCCCAGTGGTGGAATAGCAGCCTAGCATGTTCTGGGCTCTCCAACTTCCATCCCAACATTTTAACATTTAAAAAAATGAGATAAGACCCTCCAAGGAGGTATATTGAATGGCTGGCCCTCAGAGAGGGGGCTCTCAGGCTAAAAGAATGGGGATCTCAAGTGTCCCTGCTGCCCCTGCCCAGAGCTGCTATCCTTAACCTGGTGCTGACGTGACCAAGTTTACTAAGCTGCACTGCTTCCCCCTGCTGGAGACAGCGCTTTTTTTCCTGATGTCCTGGAGCACGTTTCTCCTGGCTGAAGCCTGTGGGTTTACAGGTAGGTTTACTGCTGGACTGCAGCAGGGCCTGTAAGAGAGGAAGGGAGAGGAAGAGAGGGAGGGACAGATTAAAGGAGGGAGGGAGGGAAGGAGAATTCGAGTTATACAAGGCTCACATGCCATACATTTCATGTCAGTAGATATTTTTTTCCTTGTCTCTTCTTTGCCACTGACTTTTAGAAACTCTTTTTGACAGGTGTTGTAGCTGTCCTTTTCTGTGGGATTACACAAGCTCATTACACATATAACAACCTGTCAGTAGAATCTCGAAGTCGAAGCAAGCAGGTAAGAGTGGCCCTTGAATCTGCTGGGCTGTCAGGTAGCTGGGCAGTAGGAGTGCAGCCAGGCATGCAGTGTTCACAGCCTCCTTTTTCCTTCTTCATGCAGCTTTTTGAGGTGTTACATTTCCTGGCAGAGAACTTCATCTTCTCCTACATGGGCCTGGCACTGTTCACCTTCCAGAAGCATGTTTTCAGCCCCATTTTCATCATCGGTGCTTTTGTATCCTTTTCCTGTTCCACATTGTAGACAGAAGTGACCTCTGCTGGGAAAGGTGTACAACCACTAAGACTCTGATTTGAATGGGTAGCTGGGTCCATTCTAGTTTAGTATATTTGCAGCAGGATAGGAGATGAAGGGTGGGGAGCTTCCTAAAGCTGAATATATTTGATTTCAAAGACTAGCTTTTTTTTCTGGCATTTTCTGTCCTAAGCTGGTGTTTGATGGGCAATCATTAGTTTTGTAGAGCTCTGTCCTGATTAGACCTAAAAGTCAATAACCATGTCAGTCCGCAGAATTATTGTTGATATGCTATTGTTGTGTCAACTGTAACAGAGTCAGCTCCCAGATTCTAGTGACTAGAAGGTTCCACTCTTCTTGCTCTCAGCTGCAGATTCTAGCTTGGGTAGCCCTAGCCCACAACTGATCTTGTATGTGTGTGTGTTTGTGTGTAGGCAGTGACCATGCTTTTAGCTAAGCTGCCCCTGCTCCTTATATTACGCTGGGAGAGACTCCTTTGTTTTTCTAAAACAGGAAGGAAGAGAGGTTTGGAAGGAGGAAGAGATAAGAAAAAAAGAACAGATATAAAAACTGGTAGGATTGGAGGGGAAGAGGAAGAAGAAAGAGGAGAAAGGAGAAGAAAAGATAAAGCACGTAATTCTTTGACTTCAACCCTTGGGAATGTAGTGTATGGAAAGTGGACCACTTTGGATGCTTGGGTTAGAGGAGAAATGTGGCAGTGGCTCAGCAGCTGAAGGCTTCTGGACTTTTAAGACTTGTCCCTGTTGCTTTTTAAGGCCTCATGGGGATCCTTAACTCTTCTAGAAGGAATGCGTTTCTCTTCTGAGATTTTGGCTTCATATGCAAGAGTGTATGTAGGGCTGCCCCTCCTTAGCTGCTAGATAGTGACAGTGCCAGAATCCTACTTATGATCTTACTGAGTGGCCTCACACATTCACTAAGAAACAGCTTAATTCCCATGGGCTTAGTTTTTCTTCAGTAAGACTTGGCATGTTGCTCTGATTTGTATTTCCTGCACGGCATCCTGGAAGAGATAGTGGGAGGAGGGCCTTGTTTACAGATCAGGGCCTGTTGGCTGGGCGAGCCACATCCTTTGGGAATCCAAAAAGGCTTCTGACCACTTGAGTTTTCCTTCACCTTTGAGATAGAATGTGCTTTACAAGCACTGCCCATTTCCTTTTGTTAGAAACAAAATCAAACAAGGAAAGGAGAAAGAAAAAAAAAACAAAAAAGGCAGAAAAACACTTTACACTTTACCCTGGAGGAAGTAGAAGATAGTTTGGCCCTGGCTTCTGTCTGAAACAGCTGTGGCTTCTGCAGCTGGTGCCTTGCTGGCCGGAAGCTCTGTTTGCTGGCTCCTGCCTGAGTTTCCTTCTCTGACCAGGGGATTGTGCAGCTCTCTCTGTTGGGTGCTGTTTAAACTTGGCAAGGAAAAGATGACCAGTTTCCCTGAATTCTTTGCTTTTCACAGTAGAACCCCTTTTTCCTATTCATCCTTTTCTACGTTTTACACTTCCAAGGGGGGCAGTAAAGCTACATAGGCAAAGAACTCTCTCTGCGTTAATTTGTATGAGTGACTGTCTTTGTGGTAAGAGTACTCAGTTTCTTCACTTCTAATTTTCCAGTGTTCGCTGGGCTTTGAACTCCCTGATGTTTGCTTGGGAATGAAGCTTGCTGGCTCTTTCCCAGCAAAGTTTCTACAGTTTGAGTCTAGACTTACTTTTCTGTCTTGTCATTCTCTTTCCAGTAGAACTCAATGTAGTGCGTGCTTTCTTTAGTCCGTGCTCCTGCTATGATACTTTAGATTATTTCTGGGCTGATTTTTTTTTTCAGAAACTGAGGTATCTGCCAATACCAGTTCAGTGTAGTTCAAAGGTTACAATGTGTTTATAAGCTTGAAATTAATAAACTAAGAAGTGGGAAAGTTGACCAAATGACTCCCATTTTGTTGCTTAGAGATTGTTGCAGAGTGAATCAAGGTTTTCTGGCTTTTCTGGGCAGCTACTAAAATTTTATGGTCAATCAGAGTGTTTTGAAGTGTCATTCTGGAAATGTGTTGGCTCCTTAACCTCACCTGATGACCAGGTTGCCATTTTCCTGGGCAGGGCTGCACATATCTACCCACTCTCCTTCTTCCTCAACTTGGGCAGAAGGCATAAGATTGGCTGGAATTTTCAACACATGATGATGTTTTCAGGTAAATATATATATATATATATATATATATATATATATACACATATATATGCATGCATATAGTATTATATATAATAGTATATATACCCATGTATTTATAAAGAAAACAAATTTTATTTAGCAAACTGGGATATGGTTAAAATATAACCATCTGGGCTGGGTAGCACCTATCTGTAATCATGGACTAGGAAGGAGGAGGTAAAAGGATCAGGAGTTAAAACATGCTTAAGTAAATACTGAATATGAGGTCAGCCTTTGATATATAAGACCCTGTCTTAAAAACCTTGTTTCAGGTCAACCTGTCTTTTCACTATTCGGTAAGGTGCCCCTCCTTTGCTAAGAAAAATACCACCCTGTTTTCCACAAGTGTGCATTTGACATAGTCATACTCAGCCAGCATACTGGGTGGTATTTGGATAGAAAACGTAGAGAGCTTGTTATTATGCATGTTTCTTTTTCTTTCAGCTCAATAGCAAGAGAACCATTTAAATAGTAATAGTAGCTAGTGTTCTAGAATGTGCTGTACAAATAGTGCTGTTTTTTCTCATCCTGGGAGTTCTGTGAAAGACCATACACTTCTAAGGTTTTTCTCCCTGGGTTAGCCATCCTGCCTCCCAAAGCATGTGGCTAGAGTTTTTACCCTCACATGTGGCAGTGAATTTTGAGGAGTTGTGGCTATGTCCCCATATCACCAGAAGACCTTATTGTTTGGTCCCCACAGGCCTAAGAGGAGCGATGGCATTTGCACTGGCCATCCGTGACACGGCATCCTATGCCCGCCAGATGATGTTCACAACCACACTGCTCATTGTTTTCTTTACTGTGTGGGTCATTGGTGGAGGCACAACACCCATGTTGTCATGGCTCAATATAAGGTCAGTTTATAACCAAATCAATTTCATGTCTGAATGTGTCAGTTGTCACTATTCTTGAGAATGTTCAATGTGCCATGCAGGCTATACTGGTGAAAAGTTTTCATTCTTTTGGCTTAAGCAATGTGTGTGTTTGGGAGTGTGTTTTTTAATTAAAGTTTGGAGTGTGGAGATTTTACAGGATACAAAATGTCATTAAATTCTAAAAAAAGAAAACAATTAAAATAGTCAGAATACACAGGAAATTAGGATGAGCTGGCTCTGACTAGGGCAGTGACTTTTCTGGAAGAGTTCAAAATCTTAAAGCTACAGGAAAAGGGAACAGACTTGTAGCCTTGGTAATGTTCCCTGTCTCTTTGTGATGGAAGCTGGGCCCAGAAGTAGAAGCTCCTTAGCCAGAAATTAGAAGACTCAAGTAGAGTTTTTCTTTCTTAGGAATTTGAATGCCATGCCTCTCCTTGCTTCTGGTCAAAAAAAAAAGAGATAGTATTGTCTATGTAACCCTCATCTGTCATAGCCTCATGACATCTTTTGTTTGTGGTGTGTAGCTTTGTCAGGCCAGAAGGATGTTTACCAGAGTCTCTTTTTCTTTTCCTGCCTCTACTTCCTAAACACTGGGATTACAGGTGCCTGTCCCCATACGCAGACTTAGGAACTTTATAAAGGTTGTTTGACTTCTGTACTGTGATCTACAGCATCATATAGTCAAAAAGGCACTGATTGAAACAGGAGTCCAGAGACCCAGAGCCCAACAATGACGGATGTCTGATCCCTCACGTCTTTGAGCTCCAGTTTTCCTCAATATGAAATGAAGCCTTATGCCAGAGTACTTCCAGGGCCCTCCACATCCAAGTGTTAAACTCTGCCTCCGCATTCTGTGTTGCTGAATTTACTCTGGCCCCCTGCTGTAGTTTTATGTTTGCACAGGGTGACTATGATCCATCAACCAGGCACTTGAGTAATGCAAATGCCTGAAGAGTCACTCTCTAAAGAGCCACAAGGTGGCAGTGTATCTTTCTCTGTTGGTCTTTAGTTTGTTTTCCCTCCTCTGCCAAAGACAGTTGAAGCTCCTAAACACTTCCGAGGAGAAAAAACAGGATTTGAGAGAATAGCCTTTTCTACCCGAGGTGGAAGGGATTGGTGATGATAGGCAGGGATTCCTGGGTTTGGCTACTGCCAGTTATGCCATTTTTGGGCTAGTGTGTCTCAGCTTGAAAATCAATTCAGGGGCTTCTTGGTGACAATCGGGATCTTCACTAATGCTTGCGTTGCAGGTGCCATTTGCATTTCCATGCTTATGTATTAAGATGGTTCTCACAACATCCCCATAGTGGAGATACTACAGTCTATTTTAGAGTTGAGAAATGAGACACAGAGCAACAATTTTGCCCTAGGTCATAGAGTCTTGAGAGGATGAGGCAAGATTGGAATCCAGGAAGTCTTGCCATGGCTTGTCCATCTGTAAGATGTGCTGTCCATCTGTAAGAAGGGTTGTGGTGCTAAAAATTGCTTTCCTCATAAAATTTGGAGTGTTTGAAATTTTAACTTCCTAGCTTTAATACTAAGGGTTAGTTTAAGAAACACAGTCCATCCTTGGGAATATAGACCTGAAGAAAGAAAATATACCTATGTGGCTTTCACCTTGAGATATCAGATGGTACTTTCTTTGTTCTTTGTAGCAGCACAAGGACAAAATAGGCAATTGACCCTGTGTACCCTGCATGACCCTGAGAGTCTTTGCATTCAGTGACCTGTGAAGCTACTTTATGTCAGATTTCAGATTTTTGAAGTAGGGGTGCTCATCTTGTATATTGTTAGCTAGGTAATAAGCAATTTTGTAATTTCCTCAGAAACTCTTGATATTTATATTCATCATAGGCTTTTCAAAATATTGAATAATACTACATATCTATATGAATAATAATACTATGTTATATGAATAATAGCTATGTTGAATAACACTATATAGCTATAATACTATATATACTATATGAGGAGTTTTTGAAAACTTTGAAGTCTATTATAATTAATTTCTCATTCTTTTTGTAAAAATTCACTTATGTATTCAGGAAACATTCACAGTTATACTTAATTTTATATGATTACTTTAAAGCAGCTTTCTAAGTTATATAAAGGTTCCAGGCCTCTCATTGTTTTTTAATGTTTCCAGGAATTGTAGAAAATACAGACTTCAAAGATGCATTAAAAACTGTAACCCCATCACATAACTAAGAACAAAGGCAAGATATCTGACTTTATTAATGCTAATGATAGAATTCAAGGCTTCAAGCATGCTAGGCAAGTGCTGTACCAGTGAGATACATCCTCATGATGTAACCTCTTTAATCCCTTCTTTACCTACAGAACATGTCTCATAATATGTGAGTGAATATATAATTGGGTGTTTGAAATGTTGTTTCTGAACTACCTATGGGTAATAAACCTTGCAGATGCTTAAGGTTCTTATAAAAGTGGGGTGTTATTTGTCCAGAACCCATGCCCATCATCTCAAATATGTTAAATGGTCTCGAAAAGCCTTTGAGATTTCCTAAAATATAAATGTTATATATACAACTGTAATGCCATGTTGTTTTGCGAATTATGACAGAAGAAAAGGTTTATATGCTCAGTACATAAGCAATTTGGGGAATATCTTAAATCTTGGATTGATTGGATTTCCAGATATGGTGAGCCAACTATACATAAAGCATATAGAACATTACCCTCTGGGCATAATGAGTTCTCAGAAAAAGACTTCTCAAGCAAGAAGTGTTGGTTATCAGACAGCTAATAAACAAGATTTCATATTTTTCTTAGTCTCTCTGATATTTGTATTTATCATGGAGTTTTGAAATGTTAATACTATATAACTTATTAGAAGCTTCTGAAAACTTTGAAGTGTATTACAATTTATTTCTCATACCTCATAAAACTTGCTTTTATGTATTCAGGAAATAATCATATTTGTACTTGATTTTATACGAGTAATTTAAAGTATCTCCCTAAACTGTATAAAAGTTTCAGGCTCCTCAGGAATTGTCTGCTCGGTTCCATGACTATTCATGACCTGATTAAATTATAAGTCCTTTGCTTTATTTTTCAGCCCCAAAACATGTGTTACAAACAGAATTGGATGATTTTCCAATGAGAGTAGAGAGTTGACTTTTGTAACTTCCTCATGACCTTTTCAAAAAGTGGGCCATTAAAACAGTCCTACCTAGAGCTGATTTCTGACAGGCGCTTGATGCCTCAACTAGGCTAGGAGCTGGTAAGAAGTAAACAATGCTGTTGAGCAGAAAACTCACAGTTCCTTTAATATTTCGAGTCTGCTTTTTTAAAATACTATTTATTTTTCAATCCCTTCTCCATATAATTTTTCATATCAACCATTGATAACATAGAGAAATAAAAATCAGTCTTTGGGGCATGGGTGATCAAAATTTGCTACTATTTGTGTTTTAGAAAAGATTCGGTTTCACTGTTCTTCATTGGTAATGTCATGTGAGTTTCTTTTTAAATTATCAAATTTAAGGAAACAGCTCTCAGGTATCTTTCATACATGAGCCAGAATATTTCAGAGCATAAAAGCTATGCAGCATGATTTTTTATTCTGAAAAATTATAGAACTGAGAGTCCAGGGTATGTATTATGCATGTTTCCTGTGGTCCCATCTTACATAGTTAGTTGTACCATATCACAACCAGGAGCTGAAGTGGGTTTATCAGTGTGGCTTGATACTATTTTATTACATCTAGGTTTTTGTAAATACCACTGTGTTCAAGGTATAGAATTGTTCCAAAATAAAGATATCCTTAGCTCCATCCTTTATGTCACACTCACCTCCTATCGTTCCCTAATTCCAGTAACCTCTAATTTATTCCCTGTCTCCATAATTTTCTTATTTTGATAATTATAGAGCTCAAATCATATAACATATGATCTTTTGAGATTGGCTTTTCCTCCCATTCAACATAATACCTTTGAGATCCATGTTGACATGAATGTATCAGGGTCTGTTTAACTGTTCACACCTTGAAGGACATTTGGTTAGTTTCTAGTTTACGATTATTATAAATAAAGCAACTGTGAACATTTCTGGCTAAGTTCTTATATCAATGTAGACATTCATATATCTAAGTTACAGGTTCCAGAACATGATTGACCGATGAGATACTTAATGAGTAAGTTTCTAAGGAACTGCCAAACAGTTTTCCAGAGTGGCTGTAACATTTAAATTGCTACTATTGGCATGTGAGGCTCTCATTTCCTGGTATCCTCACCAGTACTCTCTCTAGCGGTTCTAATAGGAGTGTAGTGCTATCTCATGTTGGTCTTAATTTGTATCTCTTTTGTGGCTAATAATGTTGAATGTTTCTTCCACATTATCTATTATGTTACAATCTTGATATTCAAGATAATATTCAAGGCTTGTATCATCTATTACACTAGCTTATGTATTACATCTTTTCTTTCATGACTAGCTGTTCAAGTCTTTTGTTTGCTTTATGATTAGAGTAATGGCTTTTGTTGAGTTTTGAAATATTTTTATTCTAGATACTAATGTCTTGTAAGATAACATGGTTTGTAAGTCTTTTTGCACTTTCTTGTAGTTTGTATTGAAGTCCTTTGGTAGAGTCTTTCATAGAGCAGAAGTCATAATGTTGAAGAATTGTAATCTGTCTTTTTTGGATCATCTCTTTGGTTCCATGCCTAAAAAGTTCATCAAGCTCTCTTGAAACTTTCTTCTTTACTATTTCCTTAAATGCTTTTACCTTACATTTAAGTCTATGAGCTGCTCTTGGTTAATGTTTGTATGAGATGGAAGGTTGTGTTTTATTTGTCTGTGGCTATCCAGTTGTTCCACTGTGGTATAATAAAAGGACTGTGGTTTTCCATTGAATTACTTTTGCTTATTTGTCAGAAATAAGTTGCACATGTACCTGGGGATCACAACATTCTGTTGTGGCTCATTGATATATGTATCTGATTTTCAAAAAATGATA